TCTTGGTCAACAGTACCCCAAATAAAATTGGTCATTCATTTCATGGATGTGTGTGGGCCATTGCTATGCACAATTGGGCTGCCACATTCACCTACAAATAAACAGTCACTTCACTTTACAGTAAATCCTGTGAAGCACTTTGGGACACCCTCCCAACATGAAAGTAGCTAAAAACAAATGCAAAGATTATTATTATTATTATCATTATTATTATTATTATTATTCTACAGTAGGATCTGAGAGGCTGTCAAGAAACTTGGACTCAAAATTGGACTCTAAAAGGATCCTAAAAGCGATCTATGGTTTGGAAAACAGGCCCAGACATTTACTTATTTATTATGGTAACTGATTTGGGGCCCATTGCCCTTCATTCAGTCAGATATCAGAGAAAGAACTGGCCTGAGGGAGGGAGTGTTTGAGAAGATATTACATATTATTCTGTTATTAAGATATTATTCTGATTCGGAACAGTTGATGTTTCTGATGTGCACAGTGTAGATTAGTTTAAAAGTCATTTTAGCACAATGCGGTCATTACAGAAATAAAGTGATAATTTTTTAAAATTTCACCACTTTTAGTTCATCCTCTACTGGCTTGTGAAATTAACAGCAGTGTCGGAATGAAAACAAGTGTAAATGTTGTACAGTCAATAGCTAAACCTGCATCAACATTATTTGCTTTTGGAACCTACACAGTGGGCTATTCACACTCTTCTTCTGCCCACTGCTCTTTCCCTGCCCTATACCTACAGTGTATCATTTGTACAGCTGAGAATACAACTGAAAATTGTGAAAAATGTATCCCTTAACCGCGCCAAACTGATTAGATGAGCTTCGGAAACCGAACAAATTTCTAGACGGATTGTTAAATGTTAGGAAATGGCAAAATACAGAATGCACAATTAATTACTTCACCCTTTCTGCCGGTCGTTCTGATTTGAAGCAGCCTTTGGACTTTTATTTATTACTAAGAGAATATTGGATGATTCGTGTCATTCAGATGTTTCGATTTTTCAGCTGTTTTCCATCAACCTAACAATACCCAAAGGATATAAATTCTTCCCTGGTCTTTACACGAACAAGGATTTCAGACAAATTGAAATATAATAAATGTGCCCAGGATATTCATGCATAAATCAGAGTATTTTCACCTTTCTCATATTTTGGAACTCCTTGAAAATAACGTTTACACACTTTCCTGTACAGCATCCAGTTGCCTGTCTTTTTTTCCGTGAACCCCTTAGGAGGTTATAGTTAGTTGAAAGATCTGTTCTAAATAACTGCTTAGATTTTTGTTTAATACCTGCCACTGTAAAACCCATTATTTTCCGATTAGTAGATTTATGCATTGCCATCCGGTCTGTTCAAAATATTATCGCAGGGGAAATTAAAACAGTACAATAATAATAATACAGCTATTCACGTTGGAGAATTGCATTGAAATTTAAAACAGATTTTTTTTAAAAGGAAAACATCATGATACTTGAATGTCATAACTTAAAGGAGTCCAGAGATCTTCCAGATCATCATTAAAATCTCGGGTTTGTTTTTGATTTTCTCTCGTAATTTTCATTTCCTCTCGAAAAGGTGCTGGTTCCTGCTGGGGAATGATTTCATGGCACCACCAATTCTCTGGCACCTGGTCTACACTTTATATTTGAGTCTAGACAGGGAATTGCTACAGACTTGCCAACACTGGAGAGATGGAAGCTTCATAGCCAAACCAGAGCCTATCCTCACTCCATGTTCACATGTGTGCATTTTCCGACGGGTCACCGGTGAATGGTTGAGGAACCTTGTCTACTATGTTTCCCTATAAAATGTACTTGATAACAATTATCTGTGAAGTGCATTGAGATGTTTTGATGTTATAGACAAGCGTTATTATTATCACTTGCGAAAGATAAAGCACATAAGCTATCAGGGTAGCTTGTGGGGGCACAATTGGATTATTGAAACGGATATGGAGACTTTTATTTCATGCTGTTGGTTGCTGATGTTCAAACTCTTTGCTATATGTTACGCATGATGCAACCTGGTGATGACTAGGGGTTGTACATTGACAAGGATAAAACATGTCCAACAAAAGTGGATGGTGAGGAGCATCAGCAGTTTGCCTGGAGATGATGTCCTACGACTAACTGGAGAATTGTGCAAACAAAGGATTGAAAACTGCTTCACACAAAGGCTCTAAATACAGTATCAGTAAAATAATGGACTATTTAATTATTTTACTAGTTCTGTTTTCGGTGCCTTTGTGTCCGGTGATGGATCCACCAAGCTAATAGATTTCCAGCAAACCTAACTATTTAGAGCATCTCTGCTTTCATGATGTTTATTCGAGTAACACTGCTCATTAACTGAAGAATATAACATATTCGTGTTGAAGTATATGGAATAATTACACAGTAATACAATCAAATCAGCAGAACTCTGATGCCACAGTAATTTGGCTGAGAATTAAAATACTGCTGAACATTTCATTTCCTATCCATGTGGTACAGTCATTAAGGACAATTGAAGCAAATTCAAGAATTGAACTGTAGAGATGTTAGGTACAAATTTATAAAGTGTACGTGTGTCTGTTTTATTACTCAGTTATTTTTCTCATCTTAAACCACCAGTGATGGATCCACCAAGCGAATAGATTTCCAGCAAACCATTGTCAACTGGCAAATAAAGATTTTATTCTTAAGAGCGAAACTTGAGATTTGAATGGTCTTTATTTAGAGTTAATGGACCATGTAGTAATATCTGGTACCAGCTCCAATTTTCTTTTTGGCATAAATTCTTTCTCTTCTGGTACTGTTTCAGATTCTAATCAACGGCCGACTAATGCTATACCTAACTACCTCTAGAGCATAAAACGTTTACTTTCCCTTGTTGGTTTTGTATTGACCAGCACCAAATAAGTGTGATTCCCCATAGTTTTCTCTCCATGGTCTTTGCCATTTGGGGCACTGCATGACATAGGGTTGTGCTTGGTGCGTGCATTGCGTGAGGTTTTATTTTAACTTGTTTTAATTGAATTACATCTTTCTTGCCAACCTTCCAACAACAGAGCCTAAACTTGGAGCATTTCTACACAAAGAACACAAACTCTTGTAGAAAACGCTCCTAAGTAGAAAAAAANCAATAATAAATTGGTCATTTCAATCCACTACTGTTTGTGGGACACTACTGTGCACAGTTGGCTGCCGCATTTCATCACAAATACACAGTCAGTTCACTTTACAGTCTATTCAGTGAAGTGCTTTGAGACATCTAGAATACATGAAAAGCGCTATATCAAATGCAAGGATTATTATTATTATTATTAAGTAAGTTGCTTCTAGCACAGTACTTTGAAGAAGCATGAACGAAATAAATCTACATGATGAAAGCCAGAACCTACCTCTACATAACCTTACATTTGGTAGGCCACATTATAAGGCATTGGTTTACCAACTAGAGATAGGATGGCAGAAAATGTCAGTTCCAGTTTTTCAGTTTTGTTACAGAAATTTCACCGATACACTTTGCTAGGATTTCCATGCAAGATTTTCGAAACAAGTTACGCAAACTCTTAGATCTTTGCATCCTGAAAAGAGTAATGTATATGGCCAGAGGCAAGTCCTTGTTCTGGGACGATTGTTTTTTAAGTACCACAGAGCAGTCAGACTCAGGGATTGGAGATCAGTGACGTGTTAAAGAATTGCCTCCCGACCATACTGGTATCACCGCAAGGAAGTGAGAATTTCTGGAACTCAAGTATACTTTGTTTTCTGCTATTGCACAAATTCCATTCAGGTTTGCTTGACCTGTCACTTGGGAGTGCTCAGTGTCAGCCCAGCTCAACAAAGTGAAATGGAGAATAATGAAAGCCAGCAGTTGTTGTGACACAGACATCCAAATATTCCAGTGCAAGTGGCTTCCAGCAAGATCGAGGAACAATGTTATAACTTCAAACCCTCTGAGGACACTGGCAGATACCAGTTTCATGACAACTATTAAAACGTTGCAAGTGAAATTAGATGGGTTGCCTGGAATGGATCAATGGTCTACTCCTTCAGATATTCTTAACATGTCAAAATAGTTGACTTTGTCTGTAACTTGCTTCCTCTGTTGAAAAGTAAACTGGAGTGAATTATATTCTAAATATGGTTTTGTATTATGTTCTATAAAATTACTGTATTAACTGTACGTGTTACCTCCCCTCTTCGATTGTCATAAGACTGAAGTTTTTTTCTTCAGTGTGCAATTAATACAATACTCTAAGACTTGCAATGCTGCAGGTGAATTTACTGCTGAGTCCAGGGATCTCTGAGAAATATACTTCTTTAGCAACCTCTTCAAACATTGAGCTAGTCATGTCTATGATACTACTTTAATACCTGGGCATCCAACTAGTAAACACACTTTTCAGAAATCCATTTGTTTATAGCTTGCTCTGCTTTCAAAATTGTGCAGAGTAGACTGTGCATTGACTTTTCCTGGCAAAATTACAATGCACCTGGTCAGTATAGGATGCTCAGTGCAGAAACAAGACTGTAATCTCTCTAGGAGAAATGTATGTGCTTTGTCACTATGAAGGGTCCCTCCAGCCTTATGCTGGCTTAAGGAAATTTTTACTCTGCAGCAAAAGATAAATTTGGTTTTCATGTGTTTCAGGCTATCCAATGTATCCAAATTTAACAATAAAACATATACAGGCAATGACATCAACCAACAATCTGACGACTGATAAGTCAGCCATTTTTCAGAGTGGGAAGCTAGATTAGGATCAGTTACGTTATGTGGGAACCAGTAACATAAAATAAAAATAGATCGAAAGGGACATGGAAAGAACATTAGGCAATCGTAAAACAAATGCTGTCAATTTAGAAACAATCATCTTTTTTTCCTTGGATATCAAAAACAATGCGTCACTACTAAACAATACGCAGATTGTATTTATTGAAGCCTCCGATGTAGATTTAGACAGGACAAGTTAGGACTTTCACTGTTTTTTTTTGTTTGCAGAATAAAACTTCTTCCAGATCAGGCCCTACAAATTCTTGTGCCAAGTGAGTCCGATGCTGGAATCTACACGTGCAAGGCCACCAATCCTGGTGGCTCAGATTCTCTGTCCTCTACAGTTGTTGTCACAGGTTTGCTACTATTGTATAAGAGTACATTTATAATAAAATCTACCTTTATCATATAATACAATGGATATCATTATAAGTTACAGTGCAACCCTATTATAATGCCACATCCCCTTTCTATAGTGCATCCTCACTTGCAGCGCTGGTGTCCTCTGGCTTCTGAGGCTGACTTGCCAGTTTTCTGCGCTAAACAATGGTCAGCTACTGAGTTGTTGGGTCGCTACTGACACACTTCCTGCATATTGCTCTTGCACTCTATCTGCATGAAGCATTGCTAATATTACTTCATAAAGGAAGGGACATCAAGGCGTATGCAGGAAGTGATGTCAACGATGACCTGACGACTCAGAAGTCAGCCATCTTTTTGTGCCTTATTTATACTGAGTTATTGGACCATGTTATAACAAGGCTACCCTGTATTGTAATGCAGTGTTTGTATTCTAAAATCCCCAACCTGTATTTTAATGAACAGTGATAATGGGTTTGACTGCACATATGCGCAATCAGCAGATACGTAGGGAGTGCAGACACAAAGAGGGGACTGACATTGGTGATCACCTGATGTCCTGGAAGTCAGAGTTTTTTAATACAAGAAGGTAAAATTCCCCAAATCCAAATCATTAGGTCACAGTTAACATCACTTCCTGCTAATGTGCATGTAGCAATCATACAGGAAGTGGACAGACCAGTTGCAATGAGCGGGGTCTGCAAAGTTACAATTGAATTTATAGTGAATCATATGGTAACAAGGCTGTACTGTTGTTAGAATGTGTTGCATAACAAAATCTATCTTTTCTTCTTCAAAATGTAATAAAGAATTCATTTGAATGTTTTCCATTGATATCCATCACCACTTTGAGGTACATTTTTTCATTGTTGGCCAAACTGTGTCCATTTGGGACATGAAAGCTCATTAGCAAATATTTTTATGGTTGGATTCACAAGACCACAAAGGAAGCAGTAAGCAATGGCTAAATCTGCAACTATTGATTTTTTTTTAAAAAAAGATTGTTTAGTAAAATAAGTGAGATGTCTTCTTGTTTTTTTTCTGCTCAATGAAGCAAGTATTTTAATTCAACCTTCCTGGTTCTTAAGCTGTTGCATTTCAATAACCAGTTGTTTTCCTTCATACAGCGAAGCCAGTAATAAGAGGATCCAAACATGATTTGGTGAACACTAATTCAACGTCTATCAGCGTGGACGTGGGGACTACTGTGAAGGCCATCCTGGGAGCCAACATCACTATTAGATGCCAAGGAGACGGTAACGATGCTCTTTGAATTAATGTGGGTCGTTTCTGATCACAGTGGGGGCAAGTCACTGTCTGAACATCTTTATTACATTTATGCAAAGGAAACAATATTTCCAAAGATTTATGGATGGTGCTTTCTCATGACAATAGTACATGTCATGAGGAGTGATCTTAATACATGATCGGACTCAATTACATAATGTGTACTATATGTACTGATTACTTGATTGATGAGACAACTGGAAACTTGTCAAATTGAATTGTAAACGTGGGAGATGTTTGCCTTTTTGGCGTCTGGAGAGCTGGATCATCTGGCTTGAATCTTCAGAGCAGTGAAATCCATGGTGAGAAAAGAAGTTTCACCGGTGATGGATTTAGCATCACAGCTCACAGCCTATTCATTGCTGACAGTGAGAAATCATATGTTACAAAGGGACATTATGTAATGGTGATGTGTCACATTTGATGGGAAGTAAACTCTGGTCTTGTCCAATTACTAAATTATACTCATAAATCTATTATCTCCTGCTGTGTGTTTGAGTTTGGCAAGACCCCATCTAGATCCTTAGCCAAAGAATCATGTCAATCCAGTGTACAGAAAAACTTTACTTTTTTAGCCATTTAATTCATATTTGTATACTTCATATACTTATAGTGAGATGAAGTGACTCTGTCATTTGCCTTCAAATACACAGTCACTACACTTCACAATAAATCCTGTGAAGCGCTTTGTGACAGCTTAGTGACGTGATAATGCATGTGATAAAATGCAAGGATTATTGTTATTATCATATCAATAGTAGTTCACTGTACTTTCGATTTCATTGGCACTGTGACTTAATATAAACAGGAATAACCAATTTTCCAAGCTTTGTATAAATCTAGCTGTGTCTGTCTGCGTCTTCATGTGGTGCTCATTTTACATTTTTGTTCCCATTACTCAGACTCATGTTGGTTGTATAATTTCACTAGAAAACCTTGTAGAATAATTTAACTCATTTGAAAACATGGACCAGAAAGTATCCGTTGTTTAAAGTTCCAAACATCCTTAAGAGAACTCAATCATATAATATGTACCAGTATGAAGAAACTCCACCTTGGATCTAGATTTAGCAATTTTTAGTTTTTTTTAGCACTTTTTTTAGTTTTTTTTAGCATTTCAGAGTGCCCAGAATTTGATAAATTGACATTCTTAATTTTGAAATTGATTTTCTATAAGCTCTTTTAAAAACTGCAGAAACTTGGCTTCAAAATTAAAATGGAATTCAACAATTTCCTAACTTCTGCCCACTCTGAAATGCTGGGAAAATACAGTAAATCTAGACTCGAGTGGAATTGCTCCCCATTTATTGCTCTGATAACTCAGGCTTGCTTAATCCTACAGTTACTAGATGAGTCTTGAGCCATCTTATAATAATAATAATCCTTGCATTTGATATAGCACCTTATCACGTCTTTGAGATGTCTCAAAGTGCTTCAAAGAATATACTTTAAAGTGAATTGACTGTATACTTTGTGTGCAAAGTTTTCAGTTCTTGCCCATGCTCTGAAAATATCTCCTTAAATCTCTCTGCTTGCACTCCCTCACTTGACTTTCAAATGGATTAGATAAGATAATGAACATAGAGAGAAAGCGAGAGAGAGCAAAGTTTGAGCTAGCCACTTCCTAAACATATACCTCTTTCACTGCACCTTCAGTCTTCTCCCTGGATGCCTTCTACCCCTAATATGTAGCATGAGGAACTCACCTGTGAATGGCAAGTGTTTTCACCCTCTCTCCACCTTTCCCCAACCAAACAAAAGCACAGGCACGTAGCACTGTTCCTGCATGTCATCAGTCACTTTGACACTCCTATTCCCAGTACCACTGTGTATTCCAGTTGGAGAACCAAGTCATATTTCATCACTTTTAATGGCTGATGTATGTGGCTCAAATGAAGAGTGTTCATGAGCCGTTATAATGCAAAACATGTGTTGATCAAACCTCATATCTCGTGAGAAACTGAACTGTCACTTTATTTAAGCCGACATCTGTGAAAAACTATCATTTTATTGAACAACGTTTTTAAATCGAAAGAAAGGGCAATAATAAAGGGAGATTTAGCAAACTCTGCTGTTTTTTTAAAAAAGGGAAATAGATTTTTCGTTTGCTATGTCCTGAGTTCACCAGAGTGGAGTTAAGAGAGTTACAATCAGCCTTAGTGTTCTTTAGGTAGAGAGACAAAAATTCAGTCAAGAGGTCAAGTGACAAGAGGATCAGTTGGGGTGACTGCCTCTTTCCCCCCCGGAAAGTAAAACTACAAAACCCACTGTCTGACTAGCTCTGTTTATCTTCAACCACTCTTTTATTTTGGGGTCAACATCAGAGGTGAGAGTGCAAAGAAGGAGGCATTAAAGGTGACATTCTTGAAGGATGGCAATTTGACTCAACCATGCCTCAGCAAGAGTCACTCCTTCAGGAGGCAGAGCAAAACAGATAGCAACACTTGTAAGGACTGTAACTGGGAACATATTTTCTTTACTAGATTGAAGTGCGGATCATCCAATTGAGTTGTAGAACATCCCTCTAAACCATAGGCCACATGCTTGCTTACCAAGTTTATTCGCCTGAAAATTCACAGTCACTATACTTTACTGTAGCCTGTGAAGCATTTTGAGACATTCTTCTGACGTGAAAGGTGTTATACCAAATGCAAGGATTAATTTTTTAAATTATTTTCTCGCCCGAGTCTGACTACACATTGTTGAGTGTGTCTTATTTCAGAGCTGGAATGGAATGCAAACCTTGGAGGGATCCATCGTGCTTACCTAATTCTAGATAGTACTAGGCACAGGTTGGTAAGAGCTAGGGTTTGGGGACCTTACAGTGTACGTTGGGTATTGCTGAAATCTAACTGGCTAACACTGCATAGCTTACCATTAAGACCACTGTCTGGCAAGCTTTCCCGCTGCTTTCCCAACTAGGACCACCCTACCCATTAGGGCTTTGGCTTACAGGGTTAAAAGGAGCTGATGGGAAAAATCCCTGCTCCCAGTCATTAGTCTGTCTTAATTCCTGCAACTGAGCTAGGCTGGCTGGTCTGACATCAGACAAGACAGGTCTCCTCGGTAGAATGTTGCTGTGACCAGACTGTCCATGATCTGCATTACTCCAGTTACTAAGGACTGTGTTGCAAAGCTATAACGTTGCCACGGCTAATTTGGTTTTGTAACACTACCCTTCTCTTTTTTGCCTCCTGAATCAATCTCTGAATTTGTAGCCAAATACTCAAGTCGCGGGGCAGAGTGACCCTAGTATTGGCTGGCTCTCTAGTTTTCATTCCCTCACAAAGTGAGAGCTTGAGCTCTCCTCGGCACCGCTCCACAGAGTACAGTTCAAGATTGAGAACTCCATTGGAGGGAACCTGAAAAAANCATGTTTTGTCTCTCCTTCATACAATATATTGGAGTACCAACATGCCACGTCACCGTGCTGCATCTTCAAGTTAATTATTATGAATAATAATAATCCTTGCATTTGATATAATGCCTTTCACGTGATTGAGACTTCTCAAATCGCTTCACTGTATATTTCGTGAGCGAAAGAAAGCAGTCAGGAGTGCACTCCAATGTCCCACGAACAGACATGAAGTGAATGACCAAATTTATTTGTGGGCTTATTGGCCAGAACAACGGGAAAAGCTCCCTTTTGGAATACTGCCATGGCATCTTTAACATACACCTGAATAGATAGACAGTACCTCGGTTTAACATTTCATCCAACTGACGGCACCTCCGATAATACAACACAACCCTAGCACTGGATTGGAGTGTCAGCTTGGACTATGCGATTCTGAGTCCTAATTTGGAGCTTGAACTCACCTGTTATGGGTGTCAGGCTGACTCAGTTGATAGCACTCTCACCTCTAAGTCAGTAGGTGGTGGGTTCAAGCCCTGTGTCAGGACCTGTGAGTTCCCAGTCTCGACTGATACTCCATTGCAATGATGGGGGTGTACTGAACCATTGGAAGTGCCGTCCTTTGGAAGAGACATTTTGAGTCCTCCCTCCCTGCAGCTGCTTGCCATGGTTGCCGCAAATCCACTCATTGCTTCATCCTGGACTTTGCAAATAGGCAAAGGTAAAATTATTATTATTATGGGAATGACAAAGAGGGATGAATTGTTCTATGGCTGCAATAGGACTGACCAGAGTAGAAGGTGTTCCATGTTTGCAATGTGTCTGAGGAGAGCGAGTGAGTCTCCAAACTACTCAGTGAATTAACACTAATAGTGTGAAGCAGCAAATTGTTTTCAACTCTCATCTTGTTGCCACACTGTTTTGATCCCTGTCAGGAATCATGTGCTGGTTTAGCCCATTAGAAACAACTCTAAAATTTAGAGAATTGTTCCCTTACAACACAATATCACATTTATATAACGCCTTTCACTTCAGGAGGAAGTACCAAAGTGCTGGACAGTCAGGGATTTGGACAAGAGTAGGGGTTGGGATCAGGAGGAGTGAAGGGCAGGGAGGGTAGGGGTAGGAGGGTGGCCGGAGGCGCGGTTGAAGAAGAGAATCTTGACGTGCCTTGAAGGAGGCAAAGGAGGGCCTTGAAAGCAAGGACAAGGATTTTCAAATCTACCCTCTGGGGGATGGGAAGCCAGTGGGGATGTTAGGGTCACGGAGTTTGGTGTGGGAGAGAACATGAGCAGCAGAGTTCTGGGTGATCTCCAGCGTGTGGAGGGAAGAGTTGGGAAGGCTGACAAGCAGGGTGTTGGTGTAGTCGAGTCTAGATGTGATAAATGCGTGGATGAGGGTTTTGGCGGCCCGAGGGGAGAGGCAGTGGCGGAGCCTGGCGATGTTGCAGAGGGAAGGCAGAGCAGCTCATGTTCCCTTGCCTTTACCCCACTGTTTCTTTATCCTCTTCTAACTTCAACAAAAATTAGTTTCTCCGTATCCATTCCCTTCCTGGTCGAATAATCATATGATATGTTTCTTCTGGTCTCTTAGCTCTGAGAACAACTTAACTTG